ATCATGGCGGTTGCTTTCAAAGAATGGACGCAGAAAAAAAAGAAAGAAAAAAATATACCCGGCAGCTCTTTTTGATGATATATATACCCCTCGTTTGTTGTCCTCTTCTCTCTCTCTGCCTACGGTTTACCGGGCAGTTCTGTTTGTGACGATATATATACATATATCCTCTTCTCCCTCTCTGCCTACGGTTTACCGGGCAGTTCTATTTGACGATATATATATATATATATATACAGTTCCCGATATGGGGGACAAGCTGTATTTTTCCCACCCTATTCTCTTCTCTCAATCTTGCCCAGATTACCTATCTACCCTTATCTAGTCTGGTGACCTCCTTTATCTTTCTGCTCTAGTCGGATCACAAGCCCTACTGTAATCTGCCAATGAAAAGCAAAGTATTCTACGGGTAATGGGTTGCTAAGGGTTATGGTTGGGAGGGAAGCTGGGCCTACATATCTCTGCTCTGTGCGGGGAGCAGTACCGAAGCTCCTAATGCCCGGCGCAGGCTGGAAAGCTCAGCAATTACTTTCCACAACCAGTCAGGGGGGGACACGCCGCATATCTCAGCTGGTGAGCTCAAAGCATGCCCCAGGGGGCCGTGGGGGATCGAAGAGATGTCGTGGGGAATCGAACCCATGAGCTCCTGAATGCCACTTACGTGCTCAACCAACTGAGCTAGGCCTCCAGCCCTCCGTGGAAGAAATTCAAATCAATTTGCCCGGTCAAAATCAGAAGCCTCCAATGATTTATCTGATACGTAGCACTACCGGTCCACCAATGGCTACACATCAGAAGAAGCAAGAACGACCCGAACAGTTCAGAGGCTTCAGACTTCTTTGTGGTATGTTTGGAAAATGAATCAGAAGACATCATACGCTGCTTAATACGCTGTAGAGAAGTGACAGAATACTGGGCCAGGGCATCGGACCTATGGGATGCTCTGTTCCCGACCCCCCTCCCCGAACACCCCATACAACTCCTATGGACTAACAGCCCCGCTCACTTCCACTAGGCCGAGAAGATCAGATTCTGGTTTGGAATGATCAGAAAGGTAACACTCTGGTCTATATGGAAAGAAAAGTGTAGCAGAAGCATTGAAGGTCTCTCAACACCAAGGAAGAAGGTCTGGGCGGAGACAAGGACATTGATCCAGGCGGAGGTTCTGTGCAAGTAGCAGAAGACAAGGCACTCCATGACGGACGATGTGGAACAGCAGCAGAGAACAGTGGAAAATTTCACAGGGACTGGCTGGTAGTCGGCAAGGTAGCAGACAAAAGGGATTTCCGCATACACTGGAAAGACTGCCACAATTCAGAAGCGGGCTTCAGAAGACAGAGTCCAGCAAGATCCACGACAGGCTACGTGAATACCAGCAGTGGCTAAAGGCTTTGAACCTACGAGCTCTCAGACTGTGTTGTCCTCTTCGCCTATCCCTTTCTTGTGTTTTCGCAACAAATATGACAGGTTCAGATAGCTGGATCTGAGACGAAAGGCAAGCTGACAGTCAATCCTCCACACTGCTGGAGCGATCAATGCTGTTCAGGGGTCCTTCGGCCAGACGGAAGGAAGCGTGAGTTTGTTCATGTTGTAAATTTTGACTTGCCGGTGGAATACAAACCGGACTGACGCTCCGCAGCATGGATATGGAGCCATGGTGATAGGGGGGAAAAAAAAAAAGAAGGAAGTCAGTGAAGCAGTCATCCCGTCTCTTTCTTTCAGTTATCTTATTTGGTTGTCTCCTTGCTGGTTATTGACTCAGGAAAATAACTTTGGGTTTGGAATTGTAATCCCCTGATTAATCTGAAAAAAAAAAAAAAAAATCAAAAAATGTGGAGCATATGCAATTGGCTTAGCCACTTTTGTGAATGCTTGAAGTTGTTTGCCCTAAGGGGAGACCACCAAATCAGCTGGTCCAGGAATCTGGGCCCACCTGACTTGTGTGACTGAACGGTGCGCAAATGTTACTGATTCTAAGGGATCGCCAGTTTGAACCCTGATGGAATGAGATGAATGCCACGCGCTCGTCGGCTGTTGTTATTGATTGATTGTGGAGTTTGACTAGATTTGTCTCTGACTCAGCCAAACTTATCACGGTTTGTCTCACCCCAGCGGCCCGGTTTCTTCTGTGATCCACTGTGTGGCTACCTGCTGCCCTGCCAGGTTCGATGTGTGTCATGCCAGAGATCATTCCACGCGGGCTGCGTTCAAACTGCCAGCCGTGTTCCAGGTGCGTCATGAGTGACAGGTAGTTGGATGTGGGTTGGTGAGAGTGCATGCGCTCCATACGTCACTGTCAATGCATTTAGGCACCGGTCTGTGCTGTAATCTATGCTATGTGACTATCTGCTCTCGTTCCAGGTTCACGGCGTGTTGTGCTAGAGAGCACTCCATGCGGACTGCCCTCACACTGCCATCAGTCTTGCAGTCGTTTTGCGAGTGGGAGGCGTCTCCCCTTGGAAATGACACAAGGTGCCATGGAGACTATTTCCAGATAGTGTTCACAGTATGCACATTATACTGACGCACGTGTGGATGCATAGACTCAGACTCAACTCAGCTGCTGCTTCTCTTGTGTGTGTCCTCTCTCTCTCTCTCTCTCTCTCTCTCTCTCTCTCTCTCTCTCTCTCTCTCTCTCTCTCTCTCTCTCTCTCT